GACAAGGAAGAACTGAATATACCCATTCTCCAATTCTGTCTAGGGATGGTCTGCCTGAAATGCTGTCTTTAAAAAACCTAAAATCTAAGGGATGTTCTGGGTCTCTCTCAGTGATGGCACCATGATTTTTCTTTTGATGAAAGGTGCCACTGGACTCCTGTTTTATTTTGCCATGATTTTAGAACAGCCTTCCTAGGGAGGCCCAGCAAGTAATGGCAAGGGCTTTTTATGCACCAAGGCTTTTCATCATCAATGGTTTTAATTTTAATTGAATTAGCTTGGTGTCCTGCATTTATAGGTTGAAGAACCATATGATTTTTTTGCATTTTAATGATTTTTTAAAATCTTCATCACTCACATTGACTATTTGTTCTAAAAAGGTTTAAATACATTTTAAAATAAATAACCAAATCACCTGAAAGAATCTCCACATACTTTTTACACTATTTTCTGTATGGATGAGTCATGAAAGAACTGCATAATGTACAATCGCACTCTCTCTCTCAGCATTTCTCTATATGTGGCCTAATTGATTCCTGGACTTTGAATGGCTCAGGCTAGCCTGATCTTGTCTGATCTGGGAAGCTAAGCATTCATACTTGGATGGGAGACGCCTAAGGAATTCCAGGGTCTCAGTGCAGAGGAAGGCAATGGCATACCACCTGTTAATCTCTTGCCTTGAAAACTCAATGGCAGAGGGGTCAAACTAATTTGTTACATGGACCAGATCTGACATAAATGTCACTTTGTCGGGCCAGGCCATGTGTGCCATAAAACGTAATGCCAGGTACCAGCGATAAAGACAGCAGCTGGGAAGCTCAGAGTTGTTATATCCTCACTGCAAGGCCCCATGGGCTGGAAGGGGGGGTACAGAGGAAAACCCACATGGGCAGACTGGAGAGCCAGCAGTGCAGCACTGGGCAGACGCTCCCACGTGGCTTGACCGCTGCAGACTCCCTCCTCAGGAGTCTCCTGTTCCCTCTTTTGCACTAGTTGATCACAGGCTGTGTAAGGGCCTCGGACAGGCCGGTTCAGGCCCCCGGGCCTTATGTTTGACACCCATGCTCTACAGGGTCACCTTAAGTCAGCTGTGATTTGATGGCATTTTACACACACATCGCCTGACTGATTAATGAGTGCAAACCTCTGCAGACCTCCAGGGCACTCTCTGAAAGGGAAATGTGCTGATGCCCATTTTGTAGAATGAGGAACCCATATCCAGCCCACTTGCCAGAGGTTCCCTCAGGGTAACTGCGGCAGAAGTGAAACCGGAAATGTTGTGCCTTGAAGCACAGACCAACGTTTTGTCACAAAACTAAAAGAGTGGGAACAGTAAGAAGTATATAAATAAATCACTGCTGTCCAAAAACATAGAGAGAAAAGAGAGAGGAAGGTCAAAAGTTCACTGGAAGGAGAAGGAGCAGAGAGTTGAAGTGGCTTAGAATAAATGGGAATTGCTGTTTGCGGTACCAATTTAAAAAAAAATAATCTTGGAAAGAGGTGGTAGGAGAGCTATCAACATTTCACTCCCTGGTCCATATCTCCGGTATGTGTTTTAGTTTGTTTCTTTTTTTCTTCCCCCACAAGGAGAAAACCATTTCATGTCAATACTAGCCAGACACCTTCAATATTTCAAAATAATGCCAACGCTTGGTATGTGTACATAGACAGCCAATCCCAATGGCTGTTTTTGAGGTGGTTAAAACATCATTAGGAGGAGACTTCAATATCCAGTTAGTGTCTCCACACACCTACAAGGTACTTCATCCAGTCCTCAGTTAATAATTTGGCAAACCTGCAGAAGGCACGAATTTTAAAAATGGGAACACTGAGGCCAGATCACATGGCTCAGTGCCAAATAATTGAGGCTACTTCAAGTTGCATGCCCTGACCTAGTGGGCCCAAGTTTAATCTGGTCTTGTCAGATCTCGGAAGCTAAGCAGGGTCGGCCCTGGTTAGTATTTGGATAGGAGACCACCAAGGAAGTCCAAGGTTGCTCCACAGAGGCAGGCAATGGCAAACCACCTCCGAACATCTCTTGCCTTGAAAACTCTACAGGGCCAGCATAAACCAGCTGCAACGTGACAGCACTTTACACACACACACACACACTTCATCCGCCCTCTCTCCATGGGGAATAGTTTGTGAGCATGTTGGGGCACTGTGCCATTTGGGCTGCTTGCCACACCCCGCTGCAGTCGTTTTTCTTCCATCATATGAGGCAGCATAGAGAAAAATCACTCTGGTCATATGGCGAGCTGCAGTCCACAACGGCTCGCTGAACTGGTGGGCAGTGAAGGGGCTGTGGCTCAGTGGCAGGGCATCTGTACAAAAGATCCCAGTTTCAATCCCAGCCATCTCCAGTTAAAAGAATCAGGTAGCAGGTGATGTGAAAGAACTCAGCCTGGGACCCTGAAGAGTCACTACAGGTCAGAGGAGACTTTGATAGGCCAATGGTTGATCTGACCCAATACAAGACAGCTCCATACGTTCATGTGCTAGGAAACAGTCACTCACCACACAAAGCTATTCAAGCATCCTCTGTACAGGGTGGTACTATGAACATCCCTCTTGCCGCTCCAAACTGACAAACAGAGAGAATTATCTGATAGTGATGCCAGCATGCAGGTGGGACCTGGGGATCCCCTGGAATTACATCTCATCTCCAGACTACAGAAATCAGTCCCCCTGGAGAAAACGTCTGCTTTGGAGGGTGGACTCTATGGCATGGTACCCCACTGAGGTCCCGGTCCTCCCCAGACTCCATCCCCAAATCCCCTGCTTGTGGTGGCCGGGGGGGACCTGGCTACTCCACTCCCTGAAGTACTGATGGCAGAACAGAGGAGAAGCAATTAGCTTCTAAGCTACATCAACGTACAACCAATTGAGAATTCCCAGGCCAAATCTCACACTCAAAAGGGAAACTTGGCAAATAGATCTGTGCAAACTGATGCGGGAAAAGGACCTCTCTCCGAACAACGCACACAGAGTCACTCAGATGTCGGGTGCAATATATTTGCAGCTTTCGGGAATCACAAACTACAGTTGCCTAGACAGATAAAAAGGCATTAGTGGCCACTGGCATAGCATAGTGATTCAGAGGCTGAGCAACAGATCAGAAAGGCTCCGTTCTAAATTTTGCCTGTGCCGTAAACTCACCAGTGGCCTTAGGCAAGCAGTTTTGTCTCAGCTCCCTGTCTGTGTGGCATAGAAATAACGACACTCACCTACTTTACATGGTTATTGTGAAGATTAGACAAAAGATCATGTGTATGAACCATTTGGTGCAGCTGAAAATTCTATACTTAAAATATATGTATAAGTCCGCATGGTCAAAGCAATGGTATTCCCAGTAGTCATGTATGGCTGTAAGAGTTGGACTATAAGGAAGGCTGAACACCGAAGAATAGATTCTTTTGAACTATGGTGCTGGAGAAGACTCTTGAGAGTCCCTTGGACTGCAAGAAGATCAAATCAGTCAATCCTAAAAGAAATCAACCCTGACTGTTCCCTGGAAGGCCAGATAATGAAAGTGAAGCTCAAATACTTTGGCCACCAAATGAGAAGGGAGCACTCACTGGAGAAGACCCTGATGCTGGGAAAGATTGAAGGTCAAAGAAGATGGGGATGGCAAAGGATGAGATGGTTAGACAGTGTCATAGATGCAACGAACATGAAATTGAGCAAACTTCAGAGGATGGCGGAAGACAGGAGGGCCTTGCATGATCTGGTCCATGGGGTTGTGAAGAGTCGGACTCGACTGTGCGACTGAACAACAACAAAGTGCTAGTTGATAATCCAGAGCGTAGGGTTGCCATGCCACCTACTATGGCAGGAGGCCTCCCATCAGCATTGTCCACCACTGCTCCAAGTAGTGGGAGAAAATTTTTAAAAATGCCCATGTCACATTTGGCACTTCTGGGGGAAACAGAGAAGCGATGTCACATAGTTGTAGGAATTGTCAAAAACTGTGGTTTTACCATAGAGTTTCTGGTGATTCTTATAGTTACCTAATGCTAGCTTTGAGGTTTCCTGGAAATGACATCATGGTGCACGCACTGCTGTGTCCCCTCATGTCTCTGCCCCCCACAAAGCACCTACCAGCTGCCAGGCCTGGCAACCCTAAAAAGACATCTACATATGTGCAAGCATCCCAAGGCTATATCCACAATAGTTAAACCATGGAGTTATGGATGAATCCTAGAGCACCGCCTCGACATAATGACATCACATCCGGTTTTGCATCAGAAGTGATGTCATGTATCAGCACCGTGTCGAATAACTTATCCCAGAATTCTCCTGCCACACTACCAGCTAGGGCTGGCAACCCTAATAATTCTATCGCTGCAAAATACAATCGGATTTCACACACTGAACTGCACTGAGGCCCTCCCCTGGCAAGCAAAGAAAGGAGGAGCACCTCAACCGAGACGCGTTCTTGTTTTTCTATCAGCTCCAAAAGCTAAAACATTTGCATTAGCAACAAAGAAATGATGCTTTCATTAATCAATACAGCACTGTTAATCAACCGACATCTGCAAGAGTTTGGCCTGCAGGCCTACCACATCCTTCATAAAATGTTCAGAGAGAAGAAGCTTTACAGCTTGCTCAGTACCATACATCACAAAAGCATTTTTACAAAAGCGACATCTGTACCTATTCTCCGGGTTGTTTACAAGGGCCTTTGTGTCTGTTCCTCAGATTTTTATTTTTAATCTCGTACCTTTGTTTGTAACAACTGCAAAAGATTCTCACATATATACAGAGAGGCATTTTCTAGAGAATAAAAAAAGATTATGTGTCCCCCCCCACCCAAGACATTAAAAGCGCAGGACTAACTCCAAAAAGGGAGTGAACAAAACATCTGCATTGGGGGGGAAAGTTCCTCCACACATATGAAAAGTGTTTTTCTGAGGACAAATCTGCATGCTGTGCAAAATGTAGCCACTTCGGTTTCTAACCAAATGGCTGAATAGGATACAAAAGGAAGTGTGACTTACCATCATCCAAGTAGGCTTGGTCAAGGTTCTGTTCCTGCTTAACAGTCACTCCAGTTGGCAATACTTCTTTCGGGTCACTTACTGGCGGCCCGTTTTTTGCCGTTCTCTGCTGCTGAATCACGGTAGGGTACGAGGTTGGACTTAGCCTTTGCGCTTGGCTGACCTGAGTCTGGCCAGGTCTCACTCCGCTGGTTGCGAAATTTTCGCTGCACATGATGTGCTGAAATTCTTGATGGCTTTCACACCTTAGCTGCTGGTTGGTTGATGGAGAACAGTGAATCACGGGGGAAGACTGCTGATTGGCTGGAGAATGGTGGAGCCCCGCTGAGCTTTGGCTGGGGGAGCCTGTGTGCACCAGCACGGACCTGTGCACATCTGGAATGGAAACTTGCGTAGCCATCAGACTGGACTGCTGGTAGCCCAGGTGGCTAGGGCTGAGACTCTTGCTTCTTTGGTATATTACAGCCCCTGGGGTTTGCTGAGGATATCGAGATTCAGGGGAAGACAGACTTGAACGCAGCTGCTGGCAGGAAGCCATCGTGGCCACAAGACAGGAAGGAGATTCGGTGACCATTGTGTGGTGCGAATAATAAGGCTGTGTCACTGTGCCCAGACCACTGTGTACTGTATTGCAGATTAAAGCTGGATCATAGTCATCAATGGGCTCTGTTTTGATTGAAGGCACTGGAAGGGAGTGTACAAAGGACATGATTTTAAATAAGCAGCTCTGAAACAGTGAAGGGGAGCAGGGAGAAACTAAGAACAAACAAACTGGCCCCTTTTGCCATCTCTGATGCTTTCCCGGCCTGCTTTTCTGTTTATGATCGTTTTATGTGAGTGGTTTTTATTGAGAGCCGGGTTTAATGCATATATTGGGTTGGTCTAATTGTTTTGTTTTTGCCAGCATGTCACAGCTGATATATGGTGACAGTTTGCCATTGCCCGCCTATGTGTCATGACCCTGGTATTCCTTGGAGGTCCCTCATCCAAATACTAACCAGGTCTGACCCTGCTTAGCTTCTGAGATCTGACGAGGTCGGACTAGCCTAGGCAATCCAGATCAGGGCTTTATTGCTCATAGATGAGCTTTTGGGAATTTTGATTTTTTAAAAAACATATGCATTATTCTAAATTTGTACTTTTGCTGCTATGCATTTTTTTTAATTAGCTACCTTGAGCAGTTCTGGACTAGTAGGTTATAAATATAAATAAATACAATGCAGCAATAATGAACTGCATGTCTTTCTCCTGGAATCTTAGACACTAGACGTTAGAATATTTTCAATGGAACTGCTCACCTGAGCCACTACTAAGATGAGACATGCAGGAATATAAATACATACATACTTCATTTTCCTGCACATTTAGTGCAGTCCTGAGCAGCATTACCCTCTTCTAAGATCACTGGTGCAAAGGGTATAACTCAGTTTAGGATAGGGATGCCAGCCTCCAGGTGGGACTGGGATTCCCCAGAATTACAGTTCATCTCCAGACTACAGAGAAATTTTCCCCTGAAGAAAATGGCTGCTTGGGAGGGTGGACTCTGTGGCATTGTACCCCACTGAGGTTCCTGTCCTCCCCAGGCTCCGCCTCCAAACCTCTGGGAGTTTTCCAATATGGATCTGGCAATCCTACTCCCCCCCCCCAGTTCCTTGCTGGTGGACCGGGGTGGGTGGGGAATCTGGCAACCCTAGCTTAGGGCTGCACTCTTAATCACCAGACAGGCCAAGTGACTTCTGAGTGCATGCACTGACTTGGTTTGCAAAGCTCTGCATTCAAGGCAATGGGGAAATTCCTCCCTACAGGGTTACTGCAATGTAGTCATCATCTGATAAGCATCTGTGTATGAACCCGGACCCAGTGTACAGTAGCCAAGCATAGAGGCGTCAAGTGATGTCATGCGTACATCAACCAGGCCCAAGAGTACAGAAGAGATGAGCAAAACTAGGGCAGCCAAGCCACATCCTGAGCGGCAAACTTGATTGCACAAGAGTCCAGAGCATGGAGGTGCCGGAAGCCCTCTTCATGGGTGTGTACACATGTCTGAGTATACTCCACCAGCACATCTTCCACTTGGACGTATGTATTGTGAATCCACCCAGAGCTCCCCAGTGTGGCTGAGTGGCATCAAAACTGAACATGAGTCTGGAAGGTCTTGGCTCAAAGGCCTGCTCAGCCATAAACTCATTGGGTGGTCTTGGAAAGGCAGCCTCCGTCGGTCAGCCACCTATCCATGAAAAGGGATTATTAACAAATTACATCTTGGGCAGGCTGAACACACCAAAATTCTATGACACTGACTCAGGTTCCAGGGCAAGAAATGCTGAACTGTCCATATGGCATTATGAAATGCTTTACCCAAAAATAAATGCATGCTTTGAACAAACAGGAGCTAGAGATTATTAGCAGTGCAATTCTCCAAGAACACTTTCCTGGGATTAAGCCCCACTGAATAGACTCAATATGTTAATTGGTGGCCTCGTTCTGCTAGTTTCATGACTGGCATTTATTATCAGATATAGTGATTGAGAGTTGGCTTTAGTTTTTGTTCTTTTAATCGTAAACTCGGTTGGATGAGTTTGCCCAGTGAGACTTGTTATGCCAAATTTACCTGCTTAAAATAAAAATAAATAGCTATATTTGAAGAATCATTGACAGTAAAAAAAACACAACTTCTTGCAGAACCATGGCTTGGTTTAGACGTAATGCAAAACTGTGGCTTATTTTAGGTTAGCTTGTACACCAGGATTTGACTTGCAGATGATTGCTCAAATCCTGATTTGACTTGACAAATGCTGGTTTCATTGCCATTGTTCTTTTCCTAGAGCAGACCCAGCTGATATACCACCCTGCATTGCTGTGAATATGCCGCCTGGGAAAAGACAGGATTAAGCCGGCATAGATATACACAGAAAGCTACCCCATACTGAGTTAGACCATTGGTCATTTAAGGTCAGTATTGTCTATTCTGGCTGGTAGCAGCTCTCCAGGGTTGAGATCTCAGGTTGAGGTTTTTCACATCTCCTGTACCCAGCTGTTTTAAGTGAAGTTGCTGGGGATTGAACTTGTGACATTCTGCATGGAAAGCAGATGTTCTAGCACTGAGCCACCACTCCTTCCTGCATTGTCCACATTAATACTTCACACAAAACCATAGTTAAGACCAACTGTGGTTAGTAAACCAACTTCAAAACATGGCTCCATATCCTGATGGATCATTAGTTGAGTGATCTGTATTTGAATGATTAAACTAAACGTACTTTTCCATGATGTCTGATCTGAGCCATGGTGTTGTATGCCACAGAATTACCTGGGTGGTAGGTAAAATGTTGCGGCTGACTTTTTTTCCGTTTTCCATTGATCACATAGAAATTCACTTTGACAGGGGTACGAATGTGTTTGTTCCGATACTCTGGTATCTCCACAAAAAGCATACTCTGAAAATATGAAGAGGGGAGAAGAAGAGATAACATGACATTACAAGACATTCTGTTTTTATCAGGACCTCTAGGTAAATCCTTTTTGGAACGTCTACCAAGAATGTACTCTCTTCATTGATGGAATGTAGCTGACCTTGCCAAGAATCTGAAAAAGTCTGGGTATTTTATGCTCTGTCTCCGCCTTTTTGAAAAAGACATTCTTTACACCATCGGACTCTGGTATTTCCTTCATTTCTCTATTCTCGCCTTGCCAAAAAGTTGGATAAGTAAGCAGCAGAGCATTTGACTGCTCAAATATAGTGGAAAGCAGCAGCCCTGCACTGAGAACATGCAATGGCATCCAACCTCTTGATAAATCTATGGCTTCAGGTCACCACCATACTGGATACAACCATGCATGTAATGTAGAAGAGCCCTTTTTATCATCCAAGAAAGCAGAGAACAGGATCCCTTCCCACCCCACTTCAGGTACACAAGGTAAAATAGCCCAACAACCATTTGAGAAAGTTTTATGACGACAAAGAAAAAAGAAAAAAGAACACAGAGAAAACCAGGACAAGTCTGTACTTCTGCTATCAGACAGAATATTGGTAACGAGCCTCATGTATTTTCTCAGCACCATGGAAAGGACCTGGTTTCCTCAGCTCCATCTTTTGCACCATACTATTTAGAGAGTGTAGAGACTAGATGGAGAAGAACATGACAGTGGATCAATATCACTAGTCACGGACACAAAGGTGGCCTACCATGCAAAGCTGGGTTCTGCTCTTCAAATACGGTCCACTGACTAGTAAGGAAGACATGGCTTCACATCCAGGCTACCATTCCCATAGGGTTGCCAGGTCCCTGGACCAGGTGAGGGTTCCCCCGCTTTTGTGGGCCCTTTTCCACTGCCAGCAGGGGGGACGGGACCCTGCCCACAAACATAATAACATCACCCTAAGTGATGTCATGACACCACCCACATTGCCAACATGGGGGGGACGATGTAGTTTTTGGGTAAAACTTTATGGCAAAATTGGGCTCAAATCATAGAGTTTTGCCCAAAAACTACAGCGTTTTTGGAGCATTTTAGAGAAGATCCCGGGACGGACCCTGGAGCCCCCCATCAGTAGCCAGGTAGGACCAGGCAACCCTATGTTCCCACCATGACAGTTTTGCTTCACTTGGCAGTAGCAAATTAGTTTTGCCCTGGGAGAACATGCCATCTACCCTCATGTAGTCTGCAGATACTCCAGATAGATTCTCATTCACCGCTAATAATTTATTAATGGTTTCTAGCTACCCAGAGGTATTGAAGACTTATGGCACAGCAACCAAAGAGGAAAGCACCACAGCTGGGAGCCAGAAGGATATGGGGGCACCCAGGCTAGATACTGGGCAGCAAAGGTTCAGTAGCACAGGAGAAAACTTTCTGTCACTATGGCCAGCGATGAATTTATTTATTAATATTTATTTATTTTGGGATTTATATCCCGCCCTACCCAGCGGCTCAGGTCGGCTAACAAGCGGCAATGCTGAATTTAAAATTTAAAACAGTAAAACAGTATTTCATACATAATAAAATCGGTGCTCCAATAATCTACATAAAATCACCAAGATGCACACATTCCACATTGGCAGCCGACTTTTTTAATGGCATGAGCACCAGGAATGATATTCTCCGCATTTCTGCCATGTGACATCTACCCCCCCCCCCAGTAATGGGGTAGATGGATGATGGAATCTCAGTGGTGGAATAGTGGTGGCGGTGGCTCCTACTCAAAGGCCTGGCAGAAGAGCTCTGTCTTGCAGGCCCTGCGGAACTGTACGAGGTCCCGCAGGGCCCTGATCTCCTCCGGGAGCTCGTTCCACCAGGTAGGAGCCACCACCGAAAACGCCCTGGCCTTAGTTTGGGCAAGCTTCACACTTCGGGGGCCTGGGACTTCCAGGAGATGGAGATTCCCCTATCGCAGTGCTCTTGAGGGAACATACGGGAAGAGGCGGTCCCTTAGGCTAACATACAGTGCTGGATCAGAATCCATAATAGTCATGTTAAATAGGGATGCTAAAAGAGGCACCTTGCTCCTAGGAGAGTCTTTTGGCACGCAAGAGGCAAGACATAAACAAGGGCATGTATGTTTGGGCCACAGTTCAAAATACAATTAAGCCTTCTTACACCCACTGATTTCAGTTAATCTAGTACAACCAAATCCTGTCTAAATTGCTGCTGTATTTGGTAGAGGTCTGCCTACTATCTAAGTACAAAACCTGATGTCTGAGATTGGTGAGGGGGGGGGGGAGAAGAGTGGAGACACAATGCTGACTACTTACAGGTTGGCTCTTATCTTTATCCACCGTGGCTTCCATCTCCCAAATCTGCTGTCCATCTGAAAAAAATATTAAGCCATGCCTGAAAACTCTTGTTCCAAAAATACATAGATGGTGTCTGCACTAAGGAACTGGGCAGCTACAACAATATAGGCCTTTGACTTCTAGAAACAGCATCACAGATCTCTGAAGGTCACCCTAAACTTCCATCATATTAATCAGAATCAATACTGGCAAAAGTTGGGTAATATGAGTTATCCCTAGCAGGCTTGCTAAAGCTAATGTGTGTTATCCCTAATGGGCTCATAAATGCTTCCAGCAATATGTCTTTCTCATACACGAGTCACAGACCATTTCCACACAACTGCAAACCTCGGCATTGGCGTCCTTAAATAATCAACGTTTCTAAAACATTCCACACAACTTTTGCTTCCCCAAGAGTAGATCTGAATTTAGTGCCCCGTGACCCCATGTTTTTCAAATCAACTTTTTCAGTGATTTTTTCTCTCCTTTGGATCTGAACTCACAGTTTTCCAGTGAGGAATTCCCAATTTTGAATTTTGTTTCCCACCACCCTTTTGTGTCATCAGCGTCACGTATTCACCCCCTCCTGCCCCCCCATTGTTTCCTGAGCAATCCGCTAATACTTTTAAGTGTAATGTTGATTGTGTTACGATGTGATTTTTTTTTCCATTGTAGTATAGCCACGTTATAATGTTGGGACAAAACAGGCAGCAAGGTCTCATGTAGCCTTCTCTGTGCAATTACTCATCCATGAAGTTCCTTTCCTTTTTTATTTTTGGTGGGTAGGTTTTGATGCCACATGCTTGTGCTGTTTCTTCATTCTCTCCCGCCCCCCCTTCCCCTATAACTCCTGGTTGGTTTTTTTACAATGTTATGTTATATACACCCAGGGCTATTTTTGGGCAGGAACGCACAGGAACGGATTTCCGGCTGGCTCCCAAGTTGGCCACGCCCAGCAGGAACTCATTAGCATAATAGACCACACCCAACAGCAGAAAATCATTAGGACTGGCTACATTAGGGGTGTGTGGCCTAACATGCAAAGGAGTTCCTGCTACAAAAAAAGGCCCTGGGTTTTGACAACAAACAAGGTAAACAGAATAACAAGCAAAAGGTGGGCGTGGCTGGATAACCACACTTCTGGTAACATGGGGGTGCGGCCTAATGTGCTAATAAGCTGTGCTGTCAGGGGTGTGGCCCAATATGCTAATGAGTTTCTGCTGTTGGGTGTGGGTGTGCTAATGAGTTCCTGCTGGGCTTTTTCTACAAAAAGAGCCCTGTATACACACTGCATATGCAAAAAAAGGAGGTTCCATACATGACGACACATTTAGCATGCTTCGTAATTATTGAATAACACTGTTGTGAATTGGTGAATCCAGTTCAACTATTGCAAATGGAATACTATTTTCATTAGGATTTTGTGGAAGTCTTTGCTGTCCATTTACTTAGTTGGTGACTGAGCAGGGGACCTTTGAAATGGCAGCATTCCCACAATACATCCATTCTTTTTTTTAAAACAATGTTATGCTGTTATAACATTACTGCATATGCATGCTTCATAATTTTTGAATGAAAGTGTTATGGATTGGTGTATCCAGTTCAACGATTGCCAGACATTTTCTTAGTTGGCGACTATGGAGGAGTGGGGGACCTTTGAAATGGCAGCAGCCATGCTGTTCCCCATGATACCTCTAGCCTTTTTTTTTTTACAGTGCTATGATGTTATAACGTTACTGCAAATGCAGACACAAAAAAGAGGTTCCCTCACTGATGCAGTACATGACGACACGACCCTACAACCCCCTTTTTTCAAAGGAAGTGCAGAACACATGGGGAGGGTTGGATCTGAATTCAAAAATTCGCCGAAATAAATGCCCTTTTGCAGAAGGGGTGCCGCAAAGTCGGATCACCAGCTGGGGATTCAGCTCACCGGGAAACAGCAGCAACACTGAGGTGCGGAAAAGGAGACAACCTTTTCTAGTGCTGCATAAACCCATCACACCTTAATCTTGCCCATCCAGTCTTGCCTCCGGAATGCCCTCTCCGTCAAGGCTTACCTGGCACTGACCTTACTTTCTTCTGGGCGCCAGGCTAAAACATTCCCTTCTATGCAGGCTTTTAGCTTAAGGATCTTTATCCTTTCCATGTTTTAGAGTCTGCTTCTGGCCCAAGGATCATTTGATCTACATCATTTCGGGATGCTTAATGCTGTGTGTTTTAGGCTGCTGCTACACGCAGGGTAATGAAACTGACTTGTTTTTGATGGCATCGGATTATTTTTAATGGCTTTTATTTTGATGGCTGTGCTTTACTGTTGTGGCTGCAAGCTACCTCGAACAGGTCTCTGGAGGGGCAGCACATACATTTCCTCAATAAATAAGCAGTCCACTATTGCTGGGCATGGGGGGAGAGAGAGAGATTTTGCATCATCTTCCTTGAAACAGCATCTTAATGTATTTGAAAATAGCTATCATGTTCCTGCAACCTTTAGTCTCTTTCTTGAGCTAACACTTGCATGCTTCTTTCAACTTTTCCTTGTTCCTCTCAACCACCAGTTTATTTCCTTCCTCTCAACTTAGTCAGCATATTTTCTAAAGCCAACCGTTCAAAATCATACACAGCCATCTCTCTAGCACTCAGAGGCTTAAACTCACCCAGGTACCAGGGTTGCTAGGTCTTCCCTGGCCACTGGTGGGAGGTGGGGTGGGGGGGTCAGGTAGCCAGCTCCAGGTTGGAATACTCCTGGAGATTTGGAGGTAGAGACCAGGGAGGACAGGGAGCCTCAGTGGGGCACAGTGCCACAGAGTCCACCCTCCAAAGCATCAATTTTCTCCAGGGAAGCTGATCTCTGTAATCTGGAGATCAGCTATAATTCTAGGCAATGCTCCCTTCTAAACTGTGGAGTCTTGCGAGCAAAAATTCTGCTTTGTGAGCTACTGGCATTAAAGCTGTGAGCGAGCAATTTGGCTACTACATAAATTAGTTTGCTCTGGAGCCACCCTTCCTGAGCTAAGACAAAAATGTGTGAGCTGGAGGCTAAACTAACTCAGCTTAGAGGGACACACTGATTCCAGGGGCTCTCCAGGTCAGCTGGCATCCCTACCAGATACACTCATGTGGGTCTAGTCTAGTGATTAAAAGAATGGGAAAAACTCATGTCTGCCATACTTGATTCTACCAATGCCCCGTTCCCAAAAAATGATTTGCCTTTTATGGCATTTCATTTAAGTAGCATATCTCAAATTAGGTAATAGTAACAATTCTAGAGACTTACCCATGTTAGTCTGTTGCAGCAGAAATAAACAGGAGTCTGGCAGCACCATGTAGATTAACACATTCTTAGTCTAGCATAAACTTCTATATCGCTTCGTCAGATGCATGTCCACCTGAAAGCTTAAGCTAGAGTAATTTCTTTTTTAGTCTTTCAGATGCTACCAGACCCCTGTTTCAAATGTGGCTGCCTCACTGGCCCTCCTCCATCACCCTATCACCTAGCCAACCACTTCCTACTTTGCATAAGTCTCAAGGCAGTTGAAAGCGAAACTATAAACATTGTGGCATCAGCCCTGATTTTTACCCTTGTGCCATCTCCAGTTATCCCCAAGCAAACTGTAACAATCAGAATCGTTTCAGGGGGTTACCATGTCGGTCTGCAGATTCGAGTCCAGTAGCATCTTAAAGACCAACCAGATTTGGGGGGAATGAGCTTTTGAGAGTCAATACTCCCTTTGTTAAATACCTGGCAAAGGTATTGGATGAAGGGACCTTTGATTCTGTTCACCCCCCCCCCAAAAAAAAAACCTTGTTGGTCTCTGACGTGCTACTGGACTAGAATTTAGCTGTAACAATCAGGGAAGCATTGGAGAGGTATTGGTCATACAGTGATGGCCCACACGTGGTCATGTCTACTAGTTTAGGTGGCTAGGGATTTAGACAAACTCTTGGGGAACAGGTCCATCAATGGCCAGTAGCAACAATGACTAAGGTTGGCAACCTCCAGATGGTGGCTGGAGAGCTCCTGGAATTACATCTGGTCTCCAGATGACATAGATCAGTTCCCGCTGGAGGAAATGGCTGCTTTGGAAAGTAGATTCTACGGCATTGTACCCTACTAAGGTCCCTTCCCTGCTCAAACCACAGCCTCCACCCCCAGAATCTCCAGGTATTTCCAGACCCTGAGCTGGCAACTCTACATAATATGACTAAATGTAGGCTTGCCATACCCCTTCTGGCACTTTCTGCCATGGTTCAGCTGGCCAGTGGGGGGAAATGGCAACAAATGGGGGGGGGACGACGCCAGTGGTGTCTCCCAACCAGTGTTCCCTCTAAGCTGAGTTAGTGTGAGCTAGCTCACAGTTTTTTAGCCTCGAGCTCACACATTTTTGCCTTAGCTCAGGAAGGGATGGTTCCAGAGCAAACTAACTTATGCAGCAGCCAAATCACTCGCTCACAACTTTAATGCCAGTGGCTCACAAAGTAGAATTTTTGCTCACAAGACTCCACAGCTTAGAGGGAACATTGCTCCCAACATGCTGATGTCACTTCCTGTGCACCTGGAAGTGATGTCAGCATGTCGCAGAGTGACACTGGGGATGCTCTAGCATTCGGGCAAAAATCTATGGTTAAACCAAATGCCAGAGCTTCCCCAGCATCTCCTGGCAATGTGCTGATGTCACTTCCAGGTGCACAGGTAAGTCCCCCCACTGGCTGCCAGGCCCTGCCTCCTGCACCACTGAAGGCCAGGAGTGAGTGGAGCCCCGTGCGGTGCATGAGTACCCTCCTTGCTGCACCATCTCAAATACTTGCTTGTGTGGCTTGGCTGAAGAATCAAACCTTGGAGACTAGTGGCATCTGACAGATCTTTCCTTCCTGCCTTGCAGGTATCAATGGCGAGGGGACACCAGGGCTTCCTTAAGTTAAGAGCCGGCCCTCCTCCTTGGGGGTAGGTTCTGGTTAACATAAGTTAAGGCGCATGGTGATAAGGAAAAGATGCCAAGCTCTGCAAGCCAGAACAACTGGTCCAGTGCAAGGA